TCTTTTAGGGGGTCGTTTTGCTTCCTTTTTACTTTTGTTTTTATATATGTGTATTTTCATTTTTGTGAATGATCTATATGCTCTGTTAACTCTGTGCTTGCCTATACTTTTGTGATGGGTATGACTATTCTTTTGTTTCTGTGTTCAACACAAGTATCTCCTTGAGGACTGGTCTGAAGGCAGTGTATTCTCTTAGGGATTAGATGTCTGGGAAGAATTTTAATTTTCTGTCACTGATGAAGCTTAGCTTGGTGGGGTAGGAAATTCATGGCTTAATCGTAGCACTTTGGGAAACCACGGTAGGAGGATTGCTTGAGCTCAGGAGGTGGAGACTGCTGTGAGCTGTGACTTTTCCACTGCACTCCAGCCTGAGCAACATAATGTCAGAATCTGTCTAAAAAAAAATAATAATAAAAAAGAAGGTAAATGTAGCATAAAAAATTATGTTAGTAATATTGATGTGGTATATTTTTGCATATTGTTAATTCTAATTTGTGTAAAAATTATTTGAACAAAAAGATTTTGCTCCTTAAAAAATGCAATCAGCCAGGCGCGGTGGCTTACATCTGTAATGCCAGCACTTTGGGAAGTGGAGGTGAGAGGATTGCCTGAACCCAGGGTCTCAAGACCAGCCTGGGCAACTTGGCGAGATCTCATCTCCACAGTAAATCAAAAAATTAGCTGGGTGTGGTGGTGTGTGCCTGTGGTTCCAGCTACTTGGAAGGCTGAGGTGGAAGGATCGCCTGAGCCCAGGAGGTCAAGGCTGTGGTGGCCGTGAGTGTGCGGCTGCTCTCCAACCTGGGTGACAGAGTGAGACTCTGACTCAAAAAAAAAATGGCAATCATAATTCCTGTGTACTTAAAAACAGTAACTTTGGGGAAATAATCTAGTCTTTCTGAAGCTCTGTTTGTTCATCTAAAATTAGAGAATAGGATTGGATGTTCTTTTTGTTGTTGTTTGTTTGTTCTGTGTCAGAGTCTCACTTTGTTGCCCAGGCTTGAGTGTAGTAGCACAATCATGGCTACCACAATCTTGACCTACTGGGCTCAGATGATTCTCCCACCTCAACCTTCCAGATTACTGGGACTACAAGCACATGACACAACGCCTGGTTAACTTTTTATTTATTGTAAAGACAAGATCTCACCATGTTGCCCAGGGTGATCTCAAACTCCTAACCTCAGGCAGTCCTCTCACCTGTCTCCCAAAGTGCTGGGATTATAGGCGTGAGCCACCACACCTGGCCAGATGATCTGTAAGGTACCTATATATTCTGAAATTCCACTAGTTTTGGATTTTGGACAGTTTTTTAGATATAAGATATATTTCTTTAAATTTGGTTTCAACTATATTGTTGAAGAATGTTTAACTCACCGCTTCCAGATACTAGCTAAATAGTAATATGGCATTTAAAGCTTACCAAAGATTTATCTAAGGATTTAGATTATATATTACCAACAGCTGACTCTGAATAAAAGCATCCTGCTTTGGCTGTAGTCAGTTGACTCAAATCCTTACTTGGAGAGTAAGTAATGGTAACCTTTTTTATTTCACTTTAGACTGAATATTTTAATGTTTTATATTCTAGTACATGCCATTTTATGTACCAAAATACTTTTTCCTTTAGAAAGATAAAAATGTATTATTACCCAGTCTGTTTCTATAGATTTCTTAGTTTTTTCTCATATGTTTACAGATTTGTCAAAATGCCTTCTTGTAGAGGTATCCTTTTCTTTTCAGCATGTGACAGCTTACTTTTGTGTTTTTTTTGGTATTCATTATTATTCTGTCACTGTATCTTAGGTCTTATAAGCATATTCGGGGCCTGTTATTAATATCTGAGATGGCTTTTTAGTAATTTATTCTCTGCCGATATAACAGAAAGTATATGAATACATAACATTAAGATTGTTGTTTTGGAGGGCTGGGGGGGGGGTTCCAGTTTCCCCAAGAATGATATATGACAATTCAAACTTAGCTTTGAGAAAGTCGTGTATGAGAAATTTGGAAAGTTCTAACCATTATGTTGAATTTTCCCAGTTAAGTGTTAGGCTTTATTAGATAATTTGTCTAATATCACCTTTTATTACTTTTTTTTTTTTGAGTTGGAGTCTCACTCTGTCACCCAGACTGGAGTGCACTGGCCGCTCCCGGCCACCGCAGCCTTGACCTGCTGGGCTCTGGCGATCCTTCCGCCTCACCCTTCCAAGTAGCTGGAACTACAGGCGTACGCTACCACGGCCAGCTAATTTTTGATTTATTGTAGAGATGAGGTCTCACCAAGTTGCCCAGGCAGGTCTTGAACCTGTGGGCTCAGGCAATCCACTCACCTCAGCCTCCCAAAGGTGCGGGATTACAAGCTGAGCCACCAAGCCCGGCTACCTTTTATTACTTTTGCTTAAAAAAAAAAAAAAAGATAATTTGGTGATTTGGGAGCACAAATTGAAAATAAAACATGTTAAATATACTATCATATTTTTAAGATTTAAGTTTTTGTGGTTAATAAGTAACTTGTACAGTTATTTTATGACAGATTTTTCTTTTGATCCTTTTTTAGAGAATTGGAGTTCAAGGCTCCAGTGAGCCATGATTGGGCCATTGCACTCCAGCCTAGGCAACAGAGCAAGACCCTGTCTCAAAAAAGAATAATAAATTAATTTTTAAAAAAAGAATTGATATAGTCATATTAAAACTACTTCAGGAAAAGTAAAGTTTGAAAGTCAATATACTCAACTTATTTATAAGAAAATATTATCATCATTAAAAGGAAGGTTGAAGTATACTGTAAATAGTATAGTACATTCTCATTTCTGGTGTCTCAGATGTAGTTATCAGAACTGCCAAGGTGTCTCTAGGATCTTTGTATATACTTTCAATTCCTACTATGATGGTTTTGCAACCATATCTTATATACTAGCTGTACGTTTTGAAATTCTTGGAAAATCATTCATGAAAATTGCTCTTGGCTAACTCTTAAGAGAATTAGCATGTAGATCATCCAGAATAGTTTCTAAATTTAACCCAGATAATTTTGAATACATGTATATTTAAGTATAGACTTACAGACACAGAGAGGTGGATTGCACCAGAACAAAAATCAAAATCATTTAGCTAAGGTCTAAGAAATGCTAGAGCAAATTCTTAAAACTAAGAGCAACCCTAGAGATACGTTTGAGTCAAATATTCATTTCTTCATTCATCATTCAGCAAACATATATTGATCATCTACTTTATGCCAGGCACAGTCTAGGTCTGAGAACATATCAGCGAGAAAATCAGAAATATTTGTCCACATGCTCTAATGTTAAGATATAGTCAAGTAACATATAAACACGGTATCCGAAAAGTCTGGAAACCTAGGGTAAATGTCTTTAAACAGTATGTTAGTTACATCTAAAAAATGATATGCTCGGTATATTGTTCTTCAACCTTGAGATAATGTTTTCAAGTGAAGGACTTCTGAATTTTACCCATGAATCCAATCCTTAATACATTGCAGAGTGTTTTAAAAAGTCTAAGATAAAGGGAAAATGATATATTATGCATTGTTCATTCTTGCAGGTCCTTGGTAGTATGTCATTTGATCATGAAGTTTTAAGAGAAAAGAAGAGATGGAGGAGGAATAGTAACATGGTTTTAGGGAGGAGTGGGAATTACAGTTTTAGAGTGTATTCAGGGAAACTTTTATTTAAAAAATGATATTTGTGCTTAGTCCTGAAGGAGGTGAGGATGGGAGAAATTTATTTGCTTACAGTTTTGGAGGTTAAACATCTTAAATCCAAGTGTCTGCAGGCTTGGTTCTTCTGGAACTTCTGAGGTAGAATCTGTTCTATGTCTTTCTCCTCTCTTCTAGTAGTGCCTAGCAATCCTTGCTTTATATAGTTGCATCCCTCCAAACTCTGCCTTTGTCTTCACATCGTATTAGGATCCACTCTGATTCAGTATGACCTCATTTTAACCTAGCTGATTACATCTTCAAGAACCCTATATCACATAAGGTCACATTCTGAGGTTCTGGGTGAATATGTAATTTAGGGGCACACTAGTCTACATAGTAGAGCTTGCTTTGATTTTTTAAATATGCTTATGTTATGTATAAGTAAATTTTCTACACCTTTATATTTCTGTTTCACTGAAGGGATAAGCATCATTTTAATACTTTGGTGTTTCATCAAGTGGCTAATTTACTATTTACGTAGCACTTTTTATAATATTGTTGAACTTTGGGGGTGTTACTAATTGTTTCCTGATTGTGAATAACTATTAATAATTTATGATAGAGTTCTAGAAGTGGAATTACTAGGACAAACTTCCAGTTTCAACAGATACTTAATCTGACATCTAATTCTTTTCTTCAGCCTTGTGTTCATGAGTACTGACTTGAATAGATTGATAGTATTATTTTTTCTCTATCTCTTATGGTTTGTTGGACTGAAACATTATTCACACAACTTTTTTTTGTTTTGTTTTAAGATAGTGTCTTAACTCTGTCACCCAGGCTGGAGTGCAGTGGTATGATCACAGCTCACCACAGCCTGGTTCTCCTGGGCTCACTCCAAGTGATTCTTCTGCCTTAGCCTCCCAGGTAGCTGGGACTACAGGCATTCACCACCACATCCAGCTAATTTTTTGTTGTAGAGATGAGATCTCACTGTGTTGCCCAGGCTGGTCTTAAACTCTTGGCCTCAAGTGATCCTCCAGCCTCCTGCACCCTCCCAAAATGCTGGGATTACTAGTGGGAGCCACTGCACCTGACTTTTCACATAGTTTTTACAGTATTATTTTAGATTAGACCTGTATAGTGTCTTACCTAGATCCTTTGCATGAACATTAACTCAGACTTTCATCTCTTTCTTTTATTTCTAATTTAAGTAAATCAGTATTATGAGAGATAAATTATAATAAATATTACTTGTTTTATACATTGGCAATGGAAATACTTGAATTATGTTAACTATATATGTGTACCTATGAGTATCTTTTCTTTTTCTCTGTTTTAGCACGGATGTATTTCAAAGATTGGGCTCAAATTCAGCTCTGAATACTTCAAAAATAGCATCATTTGAAGAGGCATTTATATATCTTCAAAGGTTAATGGCAGCTGTGAAAGATATCATTGAAGGAATTCAGAGGTAAACACTATTTTAACTTCAAAGTTTCATTTATGTATTACCTTTCTCTTTTTTCTAGTTTTATCACCTTTTCAAAATTGCTAGCAGTCTTCCAGCAAGTTTTGGAAACTAATAGCTCTTAGATTCAACTTGTTCTCTTTCCCTTGCAAAGAATCCCTATTTCCAGTTTGGATTACAAGAATGTTTCCCCCTTTTCCCTTTCTAGTAAAAGAATATATCAGACTGTAAGCTTCACAAAGAACTTTGTATTTTTTTTTTTTTTTAGTCAGGTTTGGGGAAGGGAGTCTCATTCTGTTGCCCATGCTGAAGTGCATGATTATGGCTCACTGCAGCCTTGATCTCTTGGGCTCAGGTGATCCTTCTGCCTCAGGTGTATGCCACCATACCAGCTAATTTTAAAAAAATTTTTGTAGAGACAGGGTCTTACTGTGTTGCCCAGATTGGTTTTGAACTCCTGAGCTCAAGCAGTTCTCCCACCTCTGCCTCCCAAAGTGCTGGGATTACAGGTCTCGGCCTATTTCCTTTATTGTGTAACTGTACTTCCTAGAACAGTACCTGACACATAATGGGCATTTGGTAATTACTTATGGAATAGATCAGGCAATTGTCACTGCTCTTTAAAACAAATATTTGCTAATGTTTTTTTAACACGATTGATTTCCTCACAGAACTACAAACTGAACTAATCTGGAGATGCAACACAGTCTTATGATGCTTTGAAACTTATACATATGTGATTATTTTAAATATTTGTGATGCATATAGAAAATACAGTGCCAGAAAGCTATAAAATAGAATAAAGCACTTTATGGCATTAAGTCAAATTTCTTCTTTTGTGGCACTAAAGCAATTTTATCGGTATATACCAAAATTACTTGCTTGGCCTAAAATAAAGATACAACTTGCTAACATAAAAAATACTGTCTTTATAAATTAAACAAGCAAAAACACAGTTGAGTTGATTTCAAGTTTAAGAAATTTGAGGAGTCCCCAGCAGAGCGGCCAAGTGCCTGCAGGAGCCGAGTCGGAGCTGGTGTCATGCAGCGGTGGCGCCTCGAGGAACCAGAGTGCCAAGTGGCAGGCTGAGCTGCCAGGACGCCACCAGCTGGAGCCCACCCCCTGGACTAGTGTGAAGCCTGGCCCACCCCCGTTCAGTGCCTTCTTGGAGCTTTCGGCTGCTGCAATAGGTTTCCTGGTCAGTATCTACAATCAAAGTTGAAGAGTGCAAAATGACTGGCAAAAATTCCACAGTGAAATTGGGGAGTTCTGGTAAGATGACGATGGCATAGGTGGATTTGTGAGAGTCTCCGAAGTGAGTTCCCAAAAAGACTCTTGCTTTTCTTCCCCAACTCCCCTGCCTACCGCCAGCCACACTGGTCCAAGGACCGGGGACCTTCAGTCCCATGCAGGGCCAGATTGCAGCCCCTGGCTGCTGCTGCTCCACTATATGTGAATCCTGCCCCCACGGGAGTCCCAGGTCTTGGCTTCCTCCCTGGTTACATCGTCTCGCACAGCACCCAGCACCAAGCTGCCGGTCACCCAGGGAGGCTCTGGGCGCCCGCCCCTCAGAGTTACCAGTCCCATTTCTGACTGAAGTACCCTGTGAGGGACCCAGGGCCACTCTCGCTGCCCACCGTCTGCCCTTTGGAGCTCTGGAGCTCTGGGCCCACCCTGACTGAGGAACTCAGCGCATGATCCCATGCTTGTGTAAGGAAACAGCATATCTTAAGGAGGTGCTGATCGGAGGCTCTCAGCTCCAGAGGAGGGAACTCCCGACCCCCTCCTTCACCCCAGCCTGCTGGTGGCACCCCAGACCCAGCACCCAGCTGTGCAGCTGATCCCTGGTGCCTCCCACTCCGGAACAGTCCATCACAGTGGATAACACAGGGACCCAGACGAGTGGAGAGAAAAGATCCGCGAAAGTGAAGCTGCCACCTCAGCCATTCTCCAGGCAGAGATTTGCATTGCCCCGCCCACCTATCAGCAGCTTCCACCTCAGTTCCTAAGGTAACTTCGCTAAACAGGAGACAAATCCCCTCCCCTGCTGAATCAGATAAAGGCAATGTCACAGACCTCCCAGACAGCAGGCTAAAAAAAACCACAAAAAACCCAAGCTGCCAGTAAATCTAGCTGCCTGCAAGGAAATCAAAGGGGAGAGACTGGAGATCAGAGCTGAAGAGACTTTAGACACTCAGGAAAGATTCCAGAGCTAGTCTGATCTCTTATTTTGACTTTTGATTTTATCATTTTGACTGTTTGTTCTGCTCGCTTTTGTTCACTTTCTGACTTACACTATCTGTTTCATGATTTTATTGGTCTGTCTCTGTGTAGCTACCAGTATCCTTTAGGGAATTTGGCTCATGTGTCTTTTTCACTTCTCTCCGGCCTTGTGTCTCTTTTTCACCTATTAGTTGGTATGTATGTCTGTTTTCCCTCTTACTCTTCTCTCTTTCTAACTTCCTATTGACCCCCCCCTTCCTCCATTATTTTCCTCTTTTGTACCTCCTTTTGATCCAAGGACCAAACCTACGTACTGCTGCACAGACAGATTGTAAGGCAGTGGGAAATAGGTTCCAGTGTGCCCATACACCTGTTGGTGGATGCTGGAATCAGCATATAGATTCTGAATCACAGCTTCCCCCTCAATTAAACCTAAAAACTGCAAAAAGGACAGCCCACACTCCAACCTCAAAAGTGAACAAAGCCAGAAGACCCTCATAAGGAAGAACAGGATATAGCGAAAGAGAAATAAAAGCAACCCTACCTTCCCTCAAAAACAGAATTAAAGAAGGGGAGGGAAAGGGGGAGAGAGAGAAAAAT